CAATTGAATTTTATCTGGCCAGGGCGGCTTATTTTATAATGTGAGTTTTAATCAAGATTATTTTATATGGATTTTAACTTGTTTTATCTATGTTGTAAGCCGCCCCGAGGCTTCGGCGAATGGGGCAGCATAAAAATGTTTTAATAAATAAATAAATAAATAAAAGGTTGATTAATGAGATATCAAGGGACATAGAAAAATGGACATCTTTAAAATTTAAAGAGTAGGCTAAGCACACTTAAAATGAAAGTAATACCTTGTTTTTTATATTTTACATGATATTTCTTTACTGATAACATGCAACTATTTTCAAAAACTTGATTGTTTTGTGAATTCTGTAGGGTTCTACTCCAACACATTTTTTTAAAGAATGCAACATTCCACTAAAGAGAGTGAATTTGGGTTTCCTGATCTTTCTTTCTACCTTTGGGCCTGTCTGTTGACTTGTACTATATTCTGGTCTTTTCCATCCAGATCAGACTTTTCCCCAGTCAGTTTTGGAATTTTATGTTTGGATCCTCTTCCCAAATTGGGTTCTCAGCACTACAAAGCCTCCTACAGTTATGGTAGGAAGTCTTGCACACACTTTCATATCAATTGCTGTTCCATTTCTTTTTGTATGCAAATTAACTCTACGGAGAAACCCAGATTTAAAGATAGGAAAGAAAACATTTATCTAGCAGACTTGGACAGACAGGCTGATTTTTACTTTGGATCAGTTCTTAGGGTCCCAATGACAATTTTCTGCTATTTTCTGTTTCACATGCAAAATATAATTTGCCGGCTTCAGCTAAATGGCAATATATCTAATTGAAAAAATTGTTAGAATTAAGGTACAAGCCTGCCACTTGTATAGCTTCAGAGCCCCTTCTGTTATTGGGAACATTGATTGAGGCTCAACAGTTACACTGGCATAAAATTCACATTTATAAACCTCTGTTATCAGTGAATAAATATGATACACTGGATCTTAAGCAAGAATGGAATAATTAATTGCGGAATCCTATCCTGTACTTCACTGGCATCTATTTCAGAAGGGATAACATATCTTATGTTGTGTTTAATTCATCAAAAATGGATGTTTGAAGTATATTGCACACTATAACATGTTCCCATCAAGGGGCTATTTAAATCAGCTAATTGCTAGAGGTGCAATACAATTAAAGCTTCTCTGATTTATATGTTCTGGAAATGCCCAATGGTTTCTTACTTTTGGGAGAGGTAATAACTTTGATAAATTCTGAGATGGAATGTTCTTTAGCATTTGTGGACATGCATATTCTTACTGTCTGCCTTTCCTTGGAATTTAATACAAACTTAATGTAAATGGATTCTCCATGCTCTTTTGATGGCTAATAGTACAAGAATACAATATTGGAAGGATGTACAGCCACCTGAAATAACACAATGGGTGATGAACCTGATGAAACTTTCTACTCTTGAACAGGTGGAGCTCAGGCACAATTGACAAATGGATAATTATATGGATATTTGGGTTATGCAGTCTGAAATTTATGTATACTTATTTTTAATAATAGTATGCCTTCATACACACACATGCACACAAACAACATTGGATATATACTATATGTATAATAGATCTACTTAAGCTTCATGTAGGAAAACTGCAACATTTTATTTTTTCCTTTTTTTGTTCTGGTTTTGGATACAGGTTACACAATAAATGGCAGGTGCATGGAAGTGGATGCAATAACAAACATAGGAAAAGTTAGAGGCTGATGTGGGCTCTAATTGCATGGAAGGAATAAGGATGTTTAAAGAAAGAGCTAAGCAATTGCACAACTTTCTGCGAGCCCCATCTTTTTGTCTAAGATTTGTAAGTTGTTCTTGCCCGCCCTAAGACTTGGGAGGAGGACCAGGCTAGAAAATTGTGTATAATTAAGTGCTAGCAACATCTTAAAGTATTCCAAAGCAGCCCAAAATAAAAATGCTACACATCAGGTAGTAGATCTAAATTGATTATTCATACTAGTTATGAATATTTGTCCATTCTGTTAGAAAAACTTGCTTAAAAAAGCTATGGGTACTCCCCTTCCAGGATCATGGTCAATCTCTGCAAGAAACTCTAACCCACAAAATAGGCTTTCCTCCTGCCA